ACTATTTTTGTTGACCTTTGTCCATGGAAGGTTCCTGCAAAATTTCATTGAAATTGGTTCAGTGGTCTTGAAGAAGAAGTCGAACATGTAAATTGTTTACGGACGCACGACGGACGACGGACGACGAACGACGGACGACGGACGACGACGGACAAAAGGCGATCGCAATAGGTCACTTGAGACTTTGTCTCAGGTGACCTAAAAATCCTGTGATATCTGCGATTTGTTTTAATGTCAATGCTGTTATTTGTAGTTTTATTAGGCAAATCATTTAAAGCATCACTGAACTAGCATAGCCATAGTTTTCCACGTCACAAACAACCAACACACCTTACCAAGATGTCACAAAGACAGAAACCCCATGCGGGAGATACATGTACAATTCTTTGTGTAAGAGGCGGCAAAGGGAGATAACACATTTGATTACATTAAATATAGTCGAGTGTCTTCGGTGAAAACACACGTTGTTTCTTTTTGTTGTACAAGCATACAGTTGGGTCCTAAAGGTTATGAAATGTTTATACAAAATGATTGCCAGAAAAATGACTCGATTGGTTGGTTGTACGGTGATAATCGTTAAATTATTCGTGATGTATTTATTTAATCCAGACAATAGACATTACAAAGGTTTTTGGGGTCGGGCACATTTCTTAAAGCAACTTTTTCAACACTGTACACACACTGAAACAATGTAAACCTGAAAAATAAAATATTCAACTTACTGCAAAATGTTACATTTCTTTTGTTAAAAGTGTTACGTCTTTATACTTAAAATGTTACATTTCTTATGCATATAACTGATTCGAGGTGCAGAATACTTAAGTGCGGACTTGCTGTGCAGACGATTCCTAACGACATCATGGCTGTGCCACACATGGATGACGACAAAACCAACAAACCTTAGTGGAACTCACCCATGCTATATTGGTAATGCTGTATATAGCTACTATAAATATATATAGTCCCTCACCGCCGGCATAGAACATACTGTTAGTGAAAGAAAACTGGCAGAGTTGAAATACAGGCATGCAAAAAGTTCTCATGGCAGCGTGATTACATTGTTAATAAAAGTGTCAAAATAAATTGTATTTGAAAGAAAATACAAGTGAAAAATCAAAATTAATCAAGTAAAACACATTTATTTGTATCACGTGACCAATCAGTTTTTGTCTTTTCATCTGTTTCAATGTATTTTCTTCCTTACAAACGATGCCTCTAAACCCCCTACAAACTAACAAATGATGCCTCTAAAACCCTACAAACCAACAAACGATGCCTCTAAACCCCCTACAAACTAACAAACGATGCCTCTAAACCCCTACAAACTAACAAACGATGCCTCTAAACCCCATACAAACTTACTAACGATGCCTCTAAACCCCCTACAAACTTACTAACGATGCCTCTAAACCCCCTACAAACTAACAAACGATGCCTCTAAACCCCCTTCAAACTAACAAACGATGCCTCTAAACCCCCTACTAAAAACTTAAAAACGATGCCTCTAAACCCCCTACAAACTAACAAACGATGCATCTAAACCCCCTACAAATTTACTAACGATGCCTCTTAACCCCTTACAAACTAACAAACGATGCATCTAAACCCCCTACAAACTTACAAACGATGCCTCTAAACCCCTACAAACTAACAAACGATGCCTCTAAACCCCTACAAACTAAAAAAACGATGCCTCTAAACCCCCTACAAACTTACAAATGATATCTCTTAACCCCCCTACAAACTAACAAACGATGCATCTAAACCCCCTACAAACTTACAAACGATGCCTCTTAACCCCCTACAAACTTACAAACGTTGCCTCTAAACCCCCTACAAACTTACAAATGATATCGATGCATCTAAACCCCCTACAAATTTACTAACGATGCCTCTTAACCCCTTACAAACTAACAAACGATGCATCTAAACCCCCTACAAACTTACTAACGATGCCTCTAAACCCCCCACAAACTAACAAACGATGCCTCTAAACCCCCTACCAACTAACAAACGATGCCTCTAAACCCCCTACAAGCTAACAAACGATGCCTCTAAACCCCCTACAAACTTGCAAACGATGCCTCTTAACCCCCTACAAACTAACAAACGATGCATCTAAACCCCCTACAAATTTACTAATGATGCCTCTTAACCCCTTACAAACTAACAAACGATGCATCTAAACCCCCTACAAATTTACTAACGATGCCTCTTAACCCCTTACAAACTAACAAACGATGCATCTAAACCCCCTACAAATTTACCAACGATGCCTCTAAACCCCCTACAAACTTACAAATGATATCTCTTAACCCCCCTAGAAACTTACAAACGCTGCCTCTAAACCCCCTACAAACTTACAAACGTTGCCTCTAAACCCCCTACAAACTTACAAATGATATCTCTTAACCCCCCTACAAACTTACAAACGAAACCTCTAAACCCCCTACAAACTTACAAACGATGTCCCTTATCCCCTAAACACTTACATACGATGCCTCTAAACCCCTACAAACTTACAAACCATGCCTCTAAACCCCCAACAAACTTACAAATGATGCCTCTAAACCCCCTACAAACTACCAAACGATGCCTCTAAACCCCCTACCAACTAACAAACGATGCCTCTCAACCCCCTACAAACTTACAAACGTTGCCTCTAAACCCCCTACAAACTTATAAATGATATCTCTTAACCCCCCTACAAACTTACAAACGATGCCTCTAAACCCCCACAAACTAACAAAAGATGCCTCTAAACCCCCTACTAACTTACAAACGATGCCTCTAAACCCCCTACAAACTACCAAACGATGCCTCTAAACCCCCTACCAACTAACAAACGATGCCTCTCAACCCCCTACAAACTTACAAACGATGCCTCTAAACCCCCTTCAAACTTACAAATGATGCCTCTAAACCCCCTACAAACAACCAAACGATGCCTCTAAACCCCCTTCAAACTAACAAACGATGCCTCTAAACCCCCTACAAACTTACAAACGTTGCCTCTAAACCCCCTACAAACTTACAAATGATATCTCTTAACCCCCCTACAAACTTACAAACGATGCCTCTAAACCCCCTACAAACTTACAAACGATGCCTATAAACCCCCTACAAACTTGCAAACGATGCCTATAAACCCCCTACAAACTAACAAACGATGCCTCTAAACCCCCTACAAACTTGCAAACGATGCCTCTTAACCCCCTACAAACTTACAAACGATGCCTCTAAACCCCCTACAAACTAACAAACGATGCCTCTAAACCCCCTACAAACTAACAAACGATGCCTCTAAACCCCCTACAAACTAACAAACGATGCCTCTAAACCCCCTACAAACTAACAAACGATGCCTCTAAACCCCCTACAAACTAACAAACGATGCCTCTAAACCCCCTACAAACTAACAAACGATGCCTCTAAACCCCCTACAAACTAACAAACGATGCCTCTAAACCCCCTACAAACTAACAAACGATGCCTCTAAACCCCCTACAAACTAACAAACGATGCCTCTAAACCCCCTACAAACTAACAAACGATGCCTCTAAACCCCCTACAGACTAACAAATGAAAGGGCTCTCTACTTTATACACTAAAGTATGTCTATAAATATTGCTTTTCTAATTCGAAACTTATATATTAAGTTAATTTCGATGTTTGCTTTTTATCTTCATGGATAACGCTACAATTAATGAAAACATATTACAGCTGGTCATGTGATGAAAACATATCTAATATGGTAAGTAAGACTATAATAAACCAACCAGCAACAATCTAGACTGGAGTGTGTGAAGGGAGACCGTAGTGAGGTGTATCGAGTCTGAGTGAGGTACACCAGGTTAAAGTAAAACAGGATATAAGCATTGCGTTAAACAGAATGTTAGTGAGACGTTTTAGCACGGTGTAACATTGTAACATGGTTGAGTAAAGTGAGAGGTATTAGTAGGGTTAAGTGTTATATCTTTTAGTAAGGTCTAGTCTTATGATATATAAGCATTGTATTCTACAAAAAATAAAGTGTTTGGGATTCAGCAACAAAAATATATCACTGGCCGTTATCCTAACCTAACGAGTGCTGTTCTTGAGCTTGATTCCGTTCATGCACTATAAGACGAGGTAATTTTGTGGGATATACTAAGGGTTTTGTATTTTGAAATAATAGGGAGGTTTAAGGAAGGAAACATGCACTAGCTTATCTGCAATATGTCGTTAGAGTTTTTCTTTTAGTTTATGATGTGCCAATCTAGCCAGTTTCATAAACGTTCCTTATGATTTGAATGGCGAAAACATTATTGGGAATCAGGAAAAGCAATTATTTCCCCTTTAACATCAGAAATAATTTCATGAGGAAAATAGGAAATTAAGGAATTTTCAATCGTCAACACAGTGACACTTGCGTCATGTGTACCACACCCGTTTGTACAGGCGTCGTATCTAGTGGTAGTTATCTGGTCAAATATAGCGACACGTGTAAACAACAAACTAGTAATGAAACTGAAGTTGTTTACAGGCTGTGTTTTTCCATTTAGGCGTGCTCAAAAAAGAAAGTATAGCAAAAGTTAGTGTTTGGCCATAGAGAACAACTTCATTCTAGTAGCATTGAAAAATGTACGTAAATGGCAAAATGTTTGTTAAACTAACGTACATGTGTCACGGGAATATAAGGTAACAGTACGTGATCCACTGCGCCTTATACGTGTACACTGTATAAGTTTTGTTGGGATATTTTTTGATTTAGGCGTGCTAAAAAAAGTATATCAAAAGGTAGTGCTTTGCCAAAGCGATCAACTTCATTCCAGGAAAATTACAAATGAACATAAAAGGCAAAATGTTTCATAAGCTAACGTGAAGGTATCACAGGATTATACAGTTCGTGATCCACTGCCACTGTAATTGTATTGTTTCGATGAACCTAAGAATGGAACCTAGCACTAGTGCTGTTTTAGAATTTGATTATGGAAGAGCATAGGATAATAGGATATATAGACGTATTAACATCTAACAGAGTGGAAAATCATAGTCGAGTCTGCCAAGAAAACATGCAGCGTATTCAAAACTGTGTTAAAAGTAACTGTGGAGCTGAAACACAAAACTAGTAATATGTGGATATCAGTTACAAAATAGAAACGTGTGAAATATTGTGTCCGTGCTACAATTCAAAGAAAACTTGAGTATTATAAATATTTGAACACGTTCATGTACTAACAAGTATCGTATTAAGTCTTCCTACTTGTCCATATAGGTGGCGTGATTAGTTGGTGACCCCGTACTTACCAGACTGATGACTATGAGAACGGAGGAGATATAGGCCACTATATAGCTAATCAACAAATCCTGTCCCTGAAACGGAAAGATGAGTACATTGTAGATAACTGTATACATTGTAATACATTGTACTTTTAACAATAGATAAGTACAGACATTGTACATACTTCAGTTTGCAAATACATTGTTTACATTATACATTGTAAAACATGAATACAAGAAGATTAATAAGTGCATTGTACCCCATAAATAAATGACACTATACATAGTAGTGAATTTGAAGATGAATATATACATTGTCATACAGCCATAATAATAATAATCAATTTTGATAAATGTAGCAACATCATAGATACCAGCGCAGATCGAAGGTACCGAACGTTTTATTGAGTGGAATCAAAGGTGGGAAACATTGCCGACATTGATAAATGCTGACAAACCATCAATTCCACACTAGACCTAATGTACGTTTAAGTGACTGTAAATCGCCCTGGTGTTATCATTGTGTCGATATAATCGGTATCATGATATAACATATAGCACAGGTATAACAAGGTGACAATAGTCGCCGGTATAGCCGGGTGTTTAAAACGGCGCCATGTTTTTTTTATCATAATGATAAACCTCTAGTGTCATCCTCACTATCACTGTATAAGAGTACCTTCATGTTTTCAAATTGTGTATATTGCATTTGTTATTTCAATATACATACTTTTCTTGCAAAATCATCCAGATCTTCACCACAGAGCTCCATTTCAGGCAAACCTATGAGAGCAAATAAACAGTATGTGTCATACATCTAATATACATCAATGTTTTCAACAACAGAATCTCTAGTTAAAGTGTAGTCGTAGACAGTGACTCAGTTGTAACGTATGGGTCACCATTACCATACTCCTGGTAAACTGTTTAATATCGATATTTACATTTGCTCTGCATTACCAACCTATAAACCTAATTATGACGATTGTGAATCATTGAATCCCAACTAAGACGTGGTGATCGTCAATACATGATGCTGGGGATTCCCTTTACTTTAAAGACATTTGGAAGTGGATAAAATAGGACAATTAAGTATCAGATGATTGACAAATCAATGAATGCAAATATAAAGCGCAATAATTCCGACCAGGATTACTGACAAACTAGACATATTTGTTCGTAACTTTCAGACGAATAGGACAATAATATAGAAGATACAGTAAACATGATTGCTATATTCCGTCTTTGCGTATTGCAGAGTTATCCTCTCTTGGGGGCAGGGATTGATTGTTACGTCATTGGTTTGTGTGAGAAAATTACGTCGTTTTCTCAAAAAATTATGACGTTACTCTCACAAACAAGTGACGTAACAATCAATTCCTGCTCCCAAGAGAAGATAACTCTGCAATACGCAAAGACGGAATACTCATATATATATTGTTTTGTAATTGAGTTTGGATGTTCAATGAACACCAACAGATCGGGCTAGTGAAAGTTGGAATCAAAAATAGTTATGTTACCGTAGTTGATGAGATCGATACAGGCGACCTTGTTCTTGATGAGAATGAGGACTAGCAGGAGAAAGAGAGGAATGGCCAGTATTGAAGTGACCACTGTCCAAGCGAACCCAAGGATGTAACTTATCACCAGCAGCTGAAACACCAAAACGATATTCTTTAACAATGTGGAACATAAACAGCTTTATTTAAAAATCGTAGAAGATTATACAACAATATATACAAAGCAGTAAACAAAATTGTTACTTCTTTCCAAGCGAAGTGTGCAAAAATCAGAGAGAGAGAGAGAGAGAGAGAGAGAGAGAGAGAGAGAGAGAGCGAGGTAACAAGATAAATATTGATCAGAAAACTGGTTCACGTGGATGGAGATAGCTACACAGCAGTCTAAAGATTGATAGTCGTCAGCGAGAAACTTTGTACCCCTTGGTACCCTGTTCATCTAAAGGGGAACTAGCTTTCTCCCTTCGGATGTTTGTTAAATGGGAAATAAGCTTAATATTCTAAATGTTTCAGATCCCTGAAGGGAACATGATTACGTTGTTAAATATCTTGCTTATCAGAAGGATGCTTGAGATCCCTGTTCGTCTAAAGGGAATCGAGAACTCATGCTTAGATTCTTGTTCATCTGGAGGGGCGGTTTTGTCTAATGTCTATGCAAATCAGAAGCGGAGTAAACGTTTATGCTATAGGTCGATGCTCAATCTCTCCCCTGATGGTGGGGAACACCTTTTAATATTTCAAGGTACTGCTTATCTGAAGGGAAACGACCATTTCTGTTTGATTTGTTGATGTTTTGGGAAATAGTTCTTAATGCTTCAATGTTTTAGGCGCCACTCTGCAGATTCGGGGAAAGAATTACTTAACAGCTTGCCGTATAGCACTGCATGTCGGACGAGGTGACTTATGTTTGTCCCCTGATGTCTAGGGTTTTCTTCACTGTATTCTGCTAAGGACACACTGAAGAAACCTGAATTGATCAACTGTCTATGTGTTTTCTTTTCGATTGTGTCTCCACGGGCACCTGTCTTCACGTGACCTTAGCTGTAGCGAAAACGTTTAGCACACACAAACAATCACAGCTTCAGGTGTCTGTTCGTCTATAGAGGTATACCTTATTTCAGTTTAGGTGTCTGCTCGTCTGAAGCAGAAGAAGTCTTTTGTTATGTAGGACCTTGCTGGTGTTATAATCCTGAGTGGCGGAACATGTATATAAGTAGTAGGAGTAACTTTAATGAAATGAGATCAAACGAAACATGTGAAATAGCGTGGTATATAATGCCTGTACTTACAAACATGTTGAGTCCCTGACCGCACGTGTTTCTCTTGGTGGTGTGGAACAGGTGCCGACTTGTGGGGTCGGTGGAGATGTGGCCCACACACAGCAGGGCGGTTCCGATCAGGAACATACCCACCACCACCCCAGTCAATGTGTACTCGATAAACCAGAACCTACAACACAAATCGATGACGTTCAACTACAACACAAATCTAGAGGGTATTACAACTTGACGGCTACTGGCCAAATAATCTTTGTACTGGGAACTTATTTTTAAGAAACTTCATTTGATCCACACATTCCAAGACACAAACCACAGCTACCCAAACGTTTTATATCCAGAAATATTAATTAAGAGTTAAGACGACAAATATTTTTCCATGTCAGAATATAATTATCTAGTTATGATAAACGTGATACAGTCCCAGTAGAAATCAAAACGTCTCTATAAATCTTACCGATCCTGACCTACGCATAGTGTGTGACAATCGCTTAATTCGACTCAGCACTCGAATGAATTCGTTGTCCAACCTATGTAAAATAACGGGTGTACGCACAGCTCGCAATAACCCCCTCCCATTACCACTGTCTCCGGTGTATTTTGAGGTATCGATCTGCTTGATTTGTTACCCGTAAATGTACCTAGGTAAGAAATGATACCGGTGGCTATTAGAATTGGCAATCCATGAGTCTGTCTTCATACCTTGTTATTGATCATAGTGATGCTCCTCTAGATATTAAAGTACTTAGGACTTCCATGTGGCTTCTAAAGCAATCGACAGAGGGGACATAAAACAATACCACTCTCTATTCTGTATTGTAATGGGATTTATGAATACTGAAAAAGGTCGAAGAAGTACAGATCATTGCATAATTAATTCCGTATTTGAATTATTTGTTAAACTCGATATTAACTTACCATTGGTCAGAATCGAACAGGTCACGTGTTTTCTGTACACCAATGAGGAGGCTGCCGGTCAGGCCCCCCAGTCCCATCAGGAGGACGATCCATGCTATGAGACTCGCACATGGGACCTGGGATAGACAGTGCAGTAGGCGGTCACTGCATTTGTCATTCCGAGCTGAAAATATATCAAAACATCATCTAATAGTACGGTTATAACACAAATAAGCTTGGTTTATACTTCACAATTTTGTTATTAAACAGATAGTATCGTCTATATCCAACGAAATATATATTGAATAAAACAGAAAATCCCCTGTATAATCCCAAAGTATAACAGTTAAACTCGCCTAAACAAATGAACTCGGTTTATATTCCATGAAATATTATATTAATTTGCTATAAGGGTAAATCGCCAATTCAAACATCTTGCGACAATTGAGTAAGGCATATTTATTTCGGGAATCATAATTATCATAAAGCACACGTGGAGGTATTTGATATCACTGGCGAAAATAAAACTTAATGCACTAAGAGTGTATACCTTTTCTACATCACTTTACAAATCTATTAAAACGTACAGGACTTTTAGTCGACCCTTGACATCTTAAATGTCAAATAAAATTTCCCCGGAGTTTTTGAGAGTCAAAACATTGTGTTAAATAAACTAAGAGTAAAGGCTCTATGGTCTATTGAAAGACCTGATATACATTTTCTCCATATAAAAACACAGTACATAATATTTCAAAATATTGTTTATGAAGTAACAAATATGAAACCCTTACCAAACATCATGCAAAGAAAGTAATACCAATATAAAACAACACAAACCAACAACCTCTAACAGGCGAACCCACAAGCGTGGTTTTGTATTACCGTCCGGGAATCTTAATTCCATGTTACCAGTCTATCAAGTTATGCTGAAATATTGATAATTTTCGGTATTTTTGTCAAATATTCCTCATTATACTAACACCTTTATCTCAGTAACAAAGCATGCTCTCCGAAAACAGTACAACACACCTAAATGGATGATTAAATAAGACAAAATGACTTCAACATAAACTGAGTGATTTGTATAAGGAGTTAGCTTGTACGAACGCGGCAAACACCAGACTGCTGGTTGGACTTCTTAAACAATGCCAGTAGTTTGCATAATACGGACGATATTTAACAAATATACCGCTACTGTCAAAACATTATCTATACTTAGGTCACCATCCTATTATATACAATACCTTTAATGATTTTACCATAATAGTATCAAAGAAATTATTTGTGGTGTATGGTCAAGACTTAACAGGAACATCAAATTGGGAACCGCTGAAAAAGCAACATCCATTCGATCATCACAGGCTGAACCTCCAACGCTTACATAACGCGATCAATTGAGTTATCCTTGATATATTGTCATTTTACGGTGTACCAAAGTTAGCACTAGAAAATGGCTTAGATATCTCCACATGTGGTAACGGAGAAAGAAAAAACACTAATATACGATAAAGAAAGATATGTTAAATCCTTCACACAAAAAATACAATATTCGAGTCGATAGCAAGAGCAACTCACGCGCACCGGAGAGTTTTCTCAAGATTCCTCATTGGTAGTCAATCGTGAATAGTACAACAACCATAAACGGAGAAATGAGATCTACAAACAGATGTTACCGTCCGGCGAGACTATCCAGCGACGATGTCAAAAAATACCGGACATTTATCAATCTCATGTAACAAGAAACTTACCGTAACGATGTTCGCGTTTTACTTTGTTGATTTTACGAATCATAGAAGTTCCTGACATAAGCCTACTTCGGCTACTTTGTCGCTTAAAATACGACCGAGAGTGGTACGCTAACTCCACAGAACAGCTACATGCCATGCTTAAAACACAGTAGATTCCTGGTTATGTAGTCTGCTTTGAATCATAACCAGACTTATACGAAACAACGATGTTCGAACTAAAAGGAAATCTTTGGTTAACATTGATACATATAGTCTTTGTTGTGACGTACTTTGCGACACTCATTATCACCTTAGCAAAGTGTTAATACCACGCAGGCGTATCGACTTAAACAATAGTCAGAAGTAAACGTTAGACTAAAAATAAGGTAATACCTGCTGTTTATTGTTAAAATGGGTAAAAACAACTGAATGTTCGATTTCCTGTCGCTCATTGGTATATGGATGTCCTCAAAACACTGTCATAAAGGATGGAATCTGATGTTATATCTAATTACGCAAAAATGTACAAGATCTGCAACCAAATCAAATGTTGCAAAGAAGTAAAACATCTGTATCAAGTCTAATGTTGCAAAGTACTTAAACATCTGTATCAAGTCCAATGTTGCAAAGAACTTAAACATCTGTAGCAAGTCTAATGTTGCAAAGAACTTAAACATCTGTAGCAAGTCCAATGTTGCAAAGAACTTAAACATCTGTATCAAGTCTAATGTTGCAAAGAACTTAAACATCTGTATCAAGTCCAATGTTGCAAAGAACTTAAACATATGTAGGCAAGTCTAATGTTGCAAAGTACGTAAACATCTGTATCAAGTCCAATGTTGTAAAGTACTTAAACATCTGTAGGAAAGTCTTATGTTGCAAAGTACTTAAACATCTGTATCAAGTCTAATATTGGAAAGTACTTAAACATCTGTATCAAGTCTAATGTTGCAAAGAACTTAAACATCTGTATCAAGTCTAACGTTGCAAAGAACTTAAACATCTGTATCAAGTCTAATGTTGCAAAGAACTAAAACATCTGTATCAAGTCTAATGTTGCAAAGAACTTAAACATCTGTATCAAGTCTAATGTTGCAAAGAACTTAAACATATGTAGGCAAGTCTAATGTTGCAACGAACTTAAACATCTGTAGCAAGTCCAATGTTGCAAAGAACTTAAACATCTGTATCAAGTCTAATGTTGCAAAGAACTTAAACATCTGTATCAAGTCTAATGTTGCAAAGAACTTAAACATATGTATCAAGTCCAATGAAACACAGAACTTAAACATCTGTATCAAGTCCAATGAAACAAAGAACTTAAACATCTGTATCAAGTCCAATGTTGCAAAGAAGTAAAACATATGTAGGCAGGTCTAATTTTACAATAACTACAAACTCTACAGTTACATTTTGTATGTCAAATAATGAAAGTTACCTATGTAGCCAAGTGTAATGTCGTAAATAACTAAGTCCAATGTATCTAATATCGAGTAAACTGCTCGCCATCATCCAACATAAACAACCAAGTGATACAAACAAGAGCAAATACATCAGTCTGTGAAAAACATGTTCGACGCATTGGATTAAACACTGGAACGTTACCATAGACAATACTGTACAGTAGACTATAGTGTCATTTAGATACAACCGATGTCCACGCCTTGAGACCCCCGCCTCATTGGTTTAAACACTGGAACGTTACCGTAGACAATACTGTACACTAACATATAGTGTCATTTAGATACAACCGATGTCCACGCCTTGAGACCCCCGCCTCATTGGTTTAAACACTAGAACGTTACCGTAGACAATACTGTACACTAACATA